CAGTGATGCGCGTGCTCATACAACATTCTAAGCTCAGACTAGTCCCTCAAGGCGGTCGGCACAACCAACCTCTCGATTGTAAAATCATGGCCAAATACCGTTGTAAGGGTATTTCGTCCGACACCGTTCTGACGGAGTGGTCAGAGATGCTAGGTCCAGAAGGGGTGGATCCAGTGGGGACGTAGTATATCTTGAGCGCGGAGGTTCAAGGAGATGTCATATGGAAGGTGAAGGAAGTCCTCCCCAACGGATTCAGGAGGATAGAACGATGGAGAAGGGAAGGCCCCTCCAACAACCTGAAGAGGTTGGAAGAGGTGACAATGAGGGTCTGGGACAACCCAACTTAGGTCAGGGTAGTGGAGAAACGAAGATGCCCACAGGCAAGTCAAGCTCCCTCCCTGGTGGGTAGAACCCCGCTGAGTCAACTGAGCCTAGACCCCACTGCTTGGAGCTGGTCGCCCAGTACAGGGGAAGATTCGCCCTTGTGCCTACTAGATTACACAGTATCGCAAGGGTACCAGCGCTCAACCCCCAACCGTAAAAACCCAGCCCAAATTGCTATATCCAGATGGCAGGCAGTATGGACAGAAGACCTGTCGCAAGTGGGCCCCAAATTCGAGAGACTGTGGGAAACCCTCATAGTATTACCAAACGGGAAACATGTTAGCTTATTGTGGATGTTGTCCTTGAAAGTCAATCCGTTAGCAGTCTGGCTAAGGAGTAAAGGCGTGGAAGTGAACCTGGTTGTTCGAGATGCAGATGACCATTTGAATCCACCAGACACCTGTGGTGGGAGTGCCCAACGTCCAAACGAGTATGGAAATGATGGTCGCACCACTGGACGAAGTTTGGCGATCAGTCGGTAACATGGGATGAGAGATGGGTGCTATTGGGTTTCTTCCCGCCGGGTTGAAAGGACACAGAGGGTGGGGGTACGTAGCTCACGTTGTCAGGGGTCTTATCTACGAAGTGATCTGGAAAGACAGAAACAAAGCACGTTTTCAGAAAAGACCCCTGTCAGACATGGAAACTAAGTGCTTTATCAAGCAGAGTCTGAAACAGGCCATCTGGGTACATTGGAGGCGGAAAGCGAAAGTGGGCAAAGGGTCTATAAGCCAACTGAGGTGGTTCTCGCAAACCTGAGCAAGAAATAAGAAGTTGGCAGATGTTCAGGCAAGCAAGGGACTGGTTATCTCACGTTGGATACTGGATAGGGACAATCCCGGGGAATGATCTGTGGACTAGAAGGACAAGGAGTAGCTGGTAGTAGTTGATCGGTTAGCAAGGCTATTCACCAGGGCACTCGGTGGGGTAGGATCACGGTAGGCCAGTATCAGAAATAGAGTGCCAAAGTAGAACTACGACCTGGTTCCAGGTCCTCTGGGCCGTGCTAGTCCCAGACTTCAGCTTAGTAAGTGAAAGTTAGAATATTTAGTTGAAGAATCATCAATGGAACATGGATTATGGAAGCCAAAAACTCTCAGTCTCTTCGCAAGCGCAAGAAAGGTAGACAAACTGTTTTATTTGTAGTATTGGGTAACGCAGTAGGAACAAGTTTCGTAACTTCGGGTTCTGCAGGCTGCTGCCTGTAAGCTAAGCTGGCTGATGCTGTCAGTAGTCCGGGTCGAATTGTGAGGTCCCCGACCTCTATTTAAATTTTATTCATGATTTAAATTTAAGTCATGACTCGTGTGCTAGTGGAACTGTGCCCCGGTCCTATTTTCTACAGGTGGGTGATAGTACTGTATGCGGCCTCCACAACAGCAGTCGCAGTGAATGGGCATCTTTCTGGCCCATTCCCCTTAACCAGATCCCTAAGACAGGGCTGCCCTTTGGCGCCCCTGCTGTTTGTCACATAGTTAGAAATGCTGATCTCAAATATCAAAGCGCACCCAGATATCAGAGGTCTACAGGTGCAACACCTAGATTGTCGGGTCAAAGCATTAGCGGATGACCTGATGGCAATCACTGAGAATTCGCAAAGATCTCTGTCGGCATTGAAAAACTGTTTAACAGACTACGCGGCCCTGTCGGAAGCAGCGATGAACTGGACAAAGTCTGCTTACCTCCTTCCTGAGGGGTACACGTTGGCGGTAAAGTGGGGTATGAAACGAATTGAAAGTGGCAGCTCGAAAAGGTACTTGGGGGTGCTAATCACGCTGGGACATTGTGCGGATATGCAGAATGAGCTCCTACAGCAGAAGATTATCCAAAGGCTGGTCATTTGGGGACCAGCCAAACACTTGTCTCTATTTGGTCGGGCCCTAGTTACCAATGTGGCGCTGTTCGCCGTGCTGTGGTTTGTAGGCTCCATTAGAGCACTTGGAAAACAATTTATTAAAGTTGTACGCCACGCAGCAGCGCGCTTTCTGTGGAAACCCTTCGCCCAGAAAGACACAGGCTTCATATCAAAAGTCGCCTGGGAACTTATATGCTGTCCCAAAGAGGAAGGGGGTTTGGGGATGCTGGACCCAGTTAGACAAAATGCAGCACTCCTAGTGAAGTGGATAATCAAGGCAGTTTCCAGCCACGTTGACGATCATTGGATTCTCCTCGCGGAACAGATCCTGTCACAAGACTGGAAGCTGCCACGATTAAGTGATGTTTGGACATGTTGTATGATGGAATCTTATCTGCGGAGAAGAGTCTCATCACCTTTCTGGCAGGATGTCCTGAAAGCCTGGAGTAAGGTTGGACCCCGCTCATGGGTTCCGCCTACGACAAGGGATGAAGTTCTCTCCCAACCACTATTCGACAATCCTCAAATCATGGATGAGAATGGCAAACCTTCCTCCGCCGGAAGTGACCCGACAGCCTTCGGCATACAGTGGGCAGAGAAAGGTGTGCTCAAGATAACCGATATGTGGAACGAACTGACGGGCCAATGACTATCGTTGCAGGAACTGAAGCAGAAACTGGGTAGGTTGGGACAAGTGGAAGACAGAGCGACCTTGTTGATGGCCGCCATCCCCCCCGAGTGGAAACACTTGCCGAGTCCGGCGGGTGTTCCCCCTCCGGGGACTTGGTTCATTACACAATCAGCAGTGACGCAGGAGGATCAACTAGAGACTTATTGGAAACTGCTTTCAATAGAGAAGGATGGAAGTAGAACGTTTCAACAGTGGAGCAGGGTCTTAGGTTCAGAGACGTTACAGCGCGAAGAGGAACATTCTTCTGTTGCCTCAAACAGACCATGGGGGAACTTGATTCAGATCAGAACCAGGGAGATCTGCAGTGAAGAGGGAGAGTGGACGTGCAAACTGTGGGCCAATGGGACCCCAATTCGCCAGCTACGGCTGGACCCCAAAATGTGGTCTTGGCAGGGATCCAAAAGATTTCCCAAGGAAGCCTGACTCACAGATCTTACAACTGCAGGAGGCTACGACATCCAACTCCCATCAAGAACTCCAATTTCGATTGCGATTAACCGATGGTCACAGGTGGACACAACAGAGGATGCTCAAATATGCAGAGCGATCACGAAGTGCTGGACGCAACTCAAGAAACTTCCTCTGATAAGAGCTACGGTGCTACTCTAGTTACTTTCAATGCAATCGACCCCTTCGGCAGTGTGGCTAGCCGAGAGGGGCATGAGCATCAAAATTCAATGCACAAGGTGCCACTGGCCTTTCGAATCTACGGTGCATTTATGGCTCTCATGCCCACTGTCTCGTAGAATATGGGACTGGTGGATTGTCCACTGGGACCGCATCAGTGGGTCGGTGTTCCCCTGGGATGACCAGTGGATTTTGTTTGGTGGCGTCCCAGAGAGTCTAGCCTTGGACAAAGGATGGGGCTATATGGCCCAGGCCCTTAGGGCATGCCTGTTCCTAGTCATCTGGGAGGTCAGGAACAGGAACGTCTTTGAGGGTCGGTTTCTCTCAGATAAATCGATCAAGTCCTTGGTGAAGCTTCAGATCTGTCGCAGTATAAAAAGCGACTGGAGGAGAATCTCCTCTTCAAGAAACAATTCGACAGGTCTCCTCTGGTTTACAGAAACTTGGTTTCTGAGGGGGCTGTTGGCGAAGCTTCAGAATGGTAATCTAGTTTTGAATGAATGGTTATTAAATGATGAGTAACATACCTGGACGCTCGGTTATTCTCCGCAGTAGGAGGGCAGCAGACTGGGGGATGTGGGGTAGGAGTGAGCGTCATTTAAAAGGGTTGGAGAGAGCTCCGCTACCCCGGCAATAGGGGTGGTTTTGTGTTTCTTCTGAAACGTTCAGACGACCGTGTAGGTCTGAGTTGGCTTAGTACTAAGGAGTAATGAGTGTCAGTAGCACCTGCACAGTAGGTTCTATGCACTGAGGGATTGCTGCTGGCTTCGGGGGGTCGGTCCCCTGCATGGCTTCTCCCTGTGAGCGAAACTGGGTAATGCTCCCAGAAGGTCTGTGTTTTTCCGGGTAGACTGTGAGGACCCCGGCCTCAAAGTTTTATGATTAATCTAAGCCTTGGGCACTGGGCCCGTATTGTTTGAAAAAAAAAAAAAAAAAAAAAGAACCGTGCCCCGGATAAACACTGCCCCTGCCCGTGCAGGGCCGATCGGGCGGTTGCTTGGGCGACCCTGTTGGCCGTGGTGCGTTGTCCGGGAATGCCTGCGGCCAATGTATGGGCCAAGTACTCGTGCCAGCCATAGTCAGGGCTAGCGGCAATAACTTGTGGTGCCAGCCATAGCATTTCTTAGGCTTGACATCAACAAAGAAAAGCCCCTGATGCTGGCTGCGCCACTAACAGTAGTGGACAGTCTCACGCCCTGGATCGACTCCTCCCGCCCGAACACGGCGCCCACCCACAGCCACCAACGACCTACACACGTCCACCGGTCTTCCAACCTCCAACGACCTGCACACACGACCACCGTCGCCTGCCTCGCGGTAAATCAGGGCATATCCACACTACCGTAACACTTTCATATATGTAGCCGACTATAATTATGGCTGGATGTGGACGAATCTGACGGCAATCACGTCCAGAGCGTAGTAGGAAAAGTTCCAGTGTGAGTATGGCCTCAGTTCGTTAGCACTCACCAAACGTGGTGCTGGCGGGAAGTCGGGTTGGTGAGTCCATTAGTTTGTTTTGTTGAGTGCGGAGGCGAGGGTGGCAAGACGATCAGTTACTCGAGCCGTCTGGACTGAATTCGAAATCCCATAATTCGCGACAGATCTCTGATTCCCCGCCGCCGTTCTGGACCAGGCAACGCAAGGAGCTAGCGAAGCGCTTATTCCGGCTGGCCACCATCGCTTGCGGAACTGTTTCGTGCGAAGGCGTGCCGCTTGAGAGCCAAGTGGCCGTCCTTCTACGCCATCAGTACCTACGATTGATCCTGCCACGTGGCGGTCGTACACAAAGAGGTGAGTGAAATGATGCTTTCTACGAGGTGTCCACGCCCCTAAATGATGTCATCTGCTCAATCCGACTTCCCCACCTGTCAGAAATCTTTCCAGTCTGTCTTTTTCGTCGCCCAAGATGTTCAGAACAATTTCTTCCGTTCCTTCGCTGTTTGTCCTTGTCTGGATGATATCTGCTTCGGTCGAATGATCGAGAAGTAGCGTGTTCCCATCCTCTCCTTACGCCGGCGCAGTAGCCTTTGCTGTCGGGATTCTTCATCCTGTGTCTTTACCCACTGAGGTCCGCCCCGAGTAAGCAGCAATGCACACGGGATTTCTATACGTGTGGTAAGAGAGAGAGAGAGAGAGAGAGAGAGAGAGAGAGAGAGAGAGAGAGAGAGAGAGAGAGAGAGAGAGAGAGAGAGAGAGAGAGAGAGCATTCCGCGTATGAGCTGCGTCTCCTTGACCAAGCTCGCTCGAGTGGCACATATACTGTCAGGTCACTTTCGTTAACACGACGAACTACCAACGTCATCATCATCGTCGCAACTGAGGCCGGCGTATAGCGGTTTGAGAAATCTTTTAGCGTGTGGGGAGGAAGCTTATTGCACGCAGTAGCGTTTATGATGGGAAGGGAGGGAGTGATGATGATGTGAGACTTTGTGACTGTGAACGGCTTACCGGCGAAACTTTGGCGAGAACCAGTTGCCGCCGAAGCGGGAAGATGAGAGGGAGCTTGTCAACTGTAACCAAAACAGAAGACATATGAAAGGTATGGATAGACATGCGAAAGTGTCGAAGAAGAAGCGTGGATGTTGGAGAAGTCGGCAGTGAATGGCGACGGTCGTTAATAAGGGTGGAAGGAAAGAGGGTTGTGCCCCTGGTAGTCGATTCTGATATCCGGTCGGATGGATCGTATTGCCATGATAGGAAGATCGATATGTGCTGAAAACGTAGTGGAGATTGGGACATTCGGCGGCAAGGCTGGCGAAGCGCATGAGTGAAATGATATGATGGAGAAGCAAGGAATTGCGACCATGAGTGAAGTCTATGGCGGCGGAAGTTCCTGAGAGTGGAAGGAAATCAATATAAGGGAAACACGACAGACAGAGGTAAATGCACAAATAGATAAACGCAAATGGTTTAATCACGAGGTAGGGCGATTGAAAGGATCGCCGCTTGTTAATCGTAGGAAGAGGATGGAGGAGGTAGATTTGATTGGAGGAGGGCGGGAAGAAGAGGAGGAGGTAGCTAGCCCTTTTCCGTGTGTGGGCTTGTGAGGCCCTTGTAACCCGGTTTCGCCTGTTTTCGTGGCTCCGTTTGTTGCCATGTTTCTCGTCGTTTTTTTTTTTTTTAAGGCCACTCAACTAATTTTGCCAACGACACGCGCCGGCCACTCAATTTTATTTTAGGCCACTCAATTAATTTTGTTTTGACCCAGGTAACAGACCGGTCGACGGATGCGTTCTGTTTCGAGGAAGGTGAGACGGAGGTAACGACACGTTCTGATTCGACCTAGGCACCATTTTCCCTGCTCTGTGGACGTTTGATTTGGCGTAACACAGGGCCTCTGTGCACAACTCACTCAGCCAATGCGAAGTGGCTAGTGCATGGAACTCTTGGAGTGTAGTTTTTTTCCATGATGGAGCAGGAACACAGGGCGTCTGTGCACAACTCACTCAGCAAATGTGTGAAGTGGTCAGTGCATGGAACACCTTGGAGTTTAGTGTTTTCCGTGATGTAGCCGGAACCCTGAGGTTCTAGAAAAAAAAAAGAGGTTTCTGAAGGAAATTGATTTTTCGAGGTATCTTGATTCGACGTTCGGGATCGTATATCGTTACCTAACTGGGAAGAAAACCGTACGAGTAGGTGACTGATTTACTCAGCTCAGACGCGTCTCTGAGAGGTTCTGTACCTGAGGTCGAAATGCGTTAGCGCTCGCGTGGCCATTACATGGCGGGAAAATGACATAATGGCACGGATCTGATGATCCAGCACCTTCTGCAGCCGAAGGAGAACGTACGTTCATTTTCGCTGCATCTGGACTGCACGTTGGGTCAAATTCGGCTATAGTGATTGTACGTTCTGCTGAGTGTATGTGTCCGGCGGATTAAAATCTCACGCCGGCTGTCCTTGGAGTGAGTCGTATTTATCTCCGAGAGTTCTGGCGGCTTTCTCAGCGTTTCCCTCTCAGGTTGGTCTGCAGCATTGGGGTTGATGGCGAGACAAACGAGGGATACGTAGATTTTTTATGTTAGAGGCGCTGGTGAGTGCATTTCTGTTTTTTTTTTTTTTTTTTTTTTTTTTTTTTTTTTTTTTTTTTTGGTTGTTATACTGTGGATCGGAGCTTTTTTTATGCTTTGTCTTATGACTGGCTGGTCTTGTCCCGTCGTTTGGCCTGTAGTTGCCGGGGGCGGTGTTTGCATGTGGGACTTGTCATCTAGGCTTGTCATTTAGGATCTGCTTTGCAGCCCCCTGTTCTGTTTTGTTTGGGCTGTTTCCTTCCTCTTTTCTTTGCCTCTTTGCCTTCTGGCTGTGTGCAAGTGGGTCGATATGACACACGGGGGTGGGGGCAGCCGCCGCTCAACCTACATCCACGTGTGCGGCCTTGTACGCAAGAGGTTCTGAACAGGGGGAGTCGTAAGAAAGAAGATAGAAAACTGAATTCAATTTTCCCTGGTTTTCTTTTCTTATTTTTTCTTTTCTTTTTTTCGCATTTGTGCTGATATTCCTGTGACAATATATAGATATATTCTCAATTTTTCTCAATTTTTCTCGTTTTTTGTCATTTTTTCTATTTTTTTAGGCCACCAGCCGGGCCGCCCGGGTCCCGGGTGGCCAGCCCGTGCAAGGACCAGGGAAGGTCCCAGCCAAAAAAAAAAAAAAAAACCCTCCAAAAAATCCGAAGAGAAACTATGTTATGCAGAAAAATAAACTGAACAGTTTTTGCCTCAGGGTCACATTGAAATTCTGCACCAAATTTAGAATAAAAAATAAAATTGTAATTTTTTTATTTTTATTTTTGTTTTTAAATTGTTTTTGGCCTGGCCGGGCAAGTGACCCCGGGCCACTCTGGTAGCCTAGATTTTTTTTCGTTTTTTTCGTTTTTTTCGTTTTTTTCGTGTTTTTTTCTTTCGCATTTGCGCTCTGATATTTATGTGATGATATACATACAATGTGATAATGTATATGTATATGCATATTTCGTGGCCTCTGTGGAAAGAACGCATTGGAATCTGAACGCGGAAGAGGTGAGTGTCGGGTAACCAAGGGAAAATGCATAGCGAATTTTTTGTCTATACATCGCTTTGCGATCTTGGACACTGTTTTGTTTAGGCGAATGTGACTGAAAATGTGCTTGGAGGCTGGATTGCTTTCAAAAACGATTTGCCTTTTGCCACATTGTAAGTTGTGTCTATGAAGCGCGTTTCGTAATCTGTGAAGTCGCTGTGTCAAAGGACTAATTATAGAAGTTAATATTTGTTTATTTGGATTATTACAGTCCCTTATATTTTATTTTACTTTGACGATCCCGATGGCGATTTCGACGTCCCGGCGGCGATATCGGCAATTTTTAGAATCGAAATTGTCAGGATTCTCGCCAGTAGGGCCTGACGACGATTTCGGTTCACAAAACGCCACGCCAAAATTTCGCCCAGGAACGTCCAAGTTCAATGTCCGAAGGAGGTAATTGATTCTAGCGATCCGCATTTAGCTAAATTGATGATATTGTGGAGATCGTGTCGTAAATGTGTGGCGGCGGTGTCAAAGGAGTTAGTCCCGACTGTGAGTGAATTCTTACACTGTTTTTTTTTTTTTTTGGCTGTATATGACCGGAATTCTACCATGACCTGGATGTATCTGACCGCAATCACGTCCAGAGGTTAGTCCAAAAGCGGTGTGTCAAAGGAGGTAGTCCCGACTATGAGTGAATTCTTACACTGCTTTTTTTTTTTTGGCTGTATATGACCGGAGTTCTTACCATGAATGACCGGAATTCTACCATGACCTGGATGTATCTGACCGCAATCACGTCCAGAGGTTAGTCCAAAA